TGGTGTGATCATGGCTTACTGTAGCTTCAACCTCCTGGGCTCAAAGCAGTCCTCCTGCCTGGCCTCCTGGGTAGCTGGGACCATAGGCATGCACAACCACACCTGGCTAATTTTTGTATTTTGTGTAGAGATGGGTTTTTGTGATGTTGCCTAGGCTGGTCTTGAACTTCTGCCCACAAGCATTCCTCTCACCTTGGCCTCTCCAAGTGCTGGGATGCAGGTGTGTGCTGCTGTGCCTGGCTTGCTCTCTTTTCATTACATGTGTTTCCCCCAATGGATTTCTGTTCTTTTTTAAAAAATAGATGGTTAATTTTCCTATTGTCCGTTGTTGATTGCTATGTATTAAAATTCTTTTGGCAATTTTGATTTAGCTCTTCTTCTGAGGTTTCACTGTAACTCATTTCTTATCCTCTGGTTGCTGTTGTTGTTATTTTCTCGTTTTCATTAAACTAACATATTTATGGAGCACCTACTATATTACAGGAATTATCCCATAAGCTTGGGCTGTGACTGCAAAAAACACTGACCCAGGTCTCTGACCTCATGGATCTATTTATTTCATTGAGGAGCCAGATAATTAATAAGTATATCTAGTTTATATAATGGTGGCTGTTGAGAAAAATAAAGCAGAGTAAGGGGATGGGATATAACCCATGAAGGTGCCTTGTTTGCTCCCAGAGAAGCTGCGTTTATTTCCTCTGTTGCTTGTGTAGATCCTATAGATGCTTGTTGAATCTGCTGTTATTTTAGTTTGAGAGCAAATTGATATATTTCCCAACCTAATTTATAGAGCCCGAGAAGGTTTTATTTGTCCAAGTCTTCTTAGTTTAAATGGGACCTTCATTACCCTCACTTCTTGGCTTTGAGGTATGAGGGAATTCTGAAGTTCCCAGGTTGATCATCTGCATCAGTGTCTTTCTACCTCTCCCTCCACCATATGCTGCTGTGTTGTCCAAGCCGAATATGTATCTCTAAATAAGGATTCTTAAAAAAAAAGTACCACGATCTTATGAAAAAAACAACTTTTAATATCACAAAATATTCGGTGTTCAAATTTGTAATTGTCTCATTTTGTTTGAACTGGGGGCCAAATAAGTTCACACATTATTTTTGGTTATGTCTTTATATTTCTTTTCATAGCAAGTTTCCCTTTTCATCTGTCTTTTTCTTCTTTTCCCTCTCTCAGTGTATTTATTGAAGAAACTGAGTGGTGGAGTTTCCCACAATGTAGATTTTGTTCATTGTATCCCTGTGTGGGGTCATCTTGTCCTCTCTCCTCTGTATTTTCTCTACATTGGTTGTTGGATTTTAGAGCTCATGAGTCTTTCAGTGAGATCTTAGAAAAGTTTGTTTCAGGGGCTAGAAGCAAATTTAATCTCTCATCTCAAACAGAAATCCTGTCTACAATACCCTTATCTGAATGTTACCCAAACTTTGCTTGAATTCTTGTAGAGATGGGGGCATTCCCTTCTTTACACGAGCATCACTAGTTAACAGACTGCTACAAGTTCAAGCTCTAGCATCAGGTAAGTTAGCTCTTTATCAAGCACTGTTGTTATCTTAATTTTACAGATGAGGAAACTGAGGCAGGGGCCAGTTTGGTAAGTTGCCAAGTGTTCTACAGCTGGTCAGTGGTGGAACTGAGATTTGAACTTTGTCAGATTCTGTAATCTAGTCCCATTACACTTTTCTGCTTTCCGGTTGGACCTCCTGTGTTGTTACTCTGGTTCCCGAAGCTCATTCAGCTTCAACATAGCATTTTATTTGCACCAATGAACTGTGATCATGTAAAATTTCTTTTCTTCTACCATTGAGATATTTTGGAATCTTGAATCTACCATGGAGTATTGTTTAAAATCATTGAGTGTATTTAATTTTATTAACTTACTACCCTAATCTTCATCTTATCCAAAAGAGTATCATGGAAACTTTTTAACTGTCTTGGTAGGTAAGCTCCACGAAGACAGGGAGTTCTCTTTACAAATATTTCCTTAGTATCTGAAACAGTGTGGGCACATATGAGTAGCTCAATAAATACATGCTGATTGAATGAATGAATGAAGAAGGTACACAGCGCTTTAATTATATCAATCCAGTAGTCTGGTTACTCTTTCCAAAAACACAATGTTTTATTTTTTTAAATAGCTAATCATTTATACATTCAACAATTACAAGGCCATTCAGTAATAAAGGGGGCTGTTGAATGAACAAAGATTTCAAAGTTGGGATTCTGAGTGATGATTGTAGTCATGTTACCCTCAGCTTAGTTTGTTTCAGCATTTTGTTTGGATTTACAATAGCTAGATAAAGTCCCAGAGAGATGCACTTGCAAACCTTAACTGGTTTTTTGTTTGTTTGTTTGTTTTTTCTTAAAAAGTTTATCCTGAGGTCTCTGGGTATTTTTTCATTAACACTAAAACTTGAAAGAGGAATAGGACATTTTTGTTTCAAAGTGAAACTCTTAACATTATCTACTATCTTATCACATATCTATTCTTTTTTTTTTTTTTGACAAATCTTATTTTATTCAGATAGCAGTCTGATCACACATGGTCCAACAATACTCAAATAATAAATCAAATATAACCAGATGTTAAAGATTGGTCTTCAAACATCATAGCCAATGATGCCACGCTTGCCTATGATCTCTCCAACATAAAACCACATCAACACCTCAGTGGCCACCAAACCATTCAGCACAGCTTCCTTAACTGTGAGCTGTTTGAAGCTACTAGTCTGAGCACTATTGACTATTTTTTTCAGGCTCTGAATAGCTCTAGGGATCTCAGCAGGGGTGGGAGGAACCAGCTCAACCTTGGCGTAGTACCAAAATGTGGCCAATCAAGGCTTCGAGTAAGTCACAGCAGCATTCACCAGAGCCGGGGTCTTCTCAACAAGGTTACGGACAAATTGGGCCATGGTTCTAGAATGCAAAGTCCGTCGCCCGGAATGGCCGGCTGAATGTCACCCCCACATATCTATTCTTGATTGTGAAGGCTGGACAAAAACTGCTGATTGACAACAAATGTTGCACCTTGCTACTCACAGTGGTATTCTTCAGCTAGCAGCAGCAGCAGTGGATGTCACCTGAGAGTGATAGAGATGCAGAATCTCAGTGCACATTTCACATGTGGAGTCCATTTGCATTTTAGTAAGAATGCCTTGTGATTTAAATACACATTAAACTTTGAGAAGTGCTGTCAACTTCAGTTAGGAGTATGGTGGACCTGAGCTTCTGAACTTCCACCAAGCTCTCAGATAATGCTGTTGTGGCCAGTCCATGAGCCACACTTGGAATAGCAAAGTGCTTGTCATTTTATCACAGTTAGAAAGTTAGGCAATTACTTGGATTGACTCTCAAGTCATGACATATGCAGCAGGGAGTGAGCCTGGCAGTTATTAAGCGCAATGCAGGTATGCTGTAATGCTGTACTTACTCCCATGTATAATATTTTAAAATATATGTGTATGGGCCTGAATTTTAAAAAATATTCTGGAGAACTTCATTTTTTCAAATCTTGACACATTTCAATAAGTTCCAATATGCCAGCCTGGGCAACATAGGGCCATCCCATCTCTACAAAAAATACAATTAGCTGAGCATGGTGGTGCATGCCTGTAGCACTAACTACGTGGGAGGCTGAGGCAGAAGGATCACTTGAACCCAGGAGCTCAAGGTTGCAGAGAGCTATGATTGCACCACTGCTGTCCGGCCTGGGTGGTAGATCAAGACCCTGTTTCTACATTTGAAAAAAAGAAGTTCAAATATATGCAAAATTCCCAGATCTTCGTAAGAATGAAGTTTCCTGGCTCCCCAAGCCAGTGTGTTTGAGTGTTTGCATTTCCAGTTTTCAAACTAGTTAAAAATACACTTCAGAAGAGAAACAATTATCCAGGACTCTGGAATCTCACATTTTGAAAACCACTGGTCAAGGAAGAAGACTGTGTTTGCTACTAACATATTGTTGACTTTAAGCCCAGAGCTTAGCCTTTCTGAGCCTGTCTCTTCATCAGTCAAATGAAAGGTTCTTCAAAATAATCTCTCCCTTCTGATGAATTCTTAGCTTCCATGCTTCTGTGACTTGCTATGCAGCCTAGTAGAGCTTTATAGTTTCATTAAGTCCAATTTCTTGATTATAGAGGTTGCTTCACCTAGCAGTTTAAAGTCAAAGATTTGAGCCAGTTGATAAGGATGTTTCCTTGAGCAAGTAGCAACCTCCAGGTGAGGATCTGTGAAATGGAAGCAATACTAGTGCTTTTCCTGGAGGGTTGGTGTGAAGATTAAATGAGTTAATGCATGTAAAGCACCTACTCTATGTTGTTCATCATATGTTAGCTGTTGTTTCTTTTGCAGATGAGAAAACTGAGGTTGGAGAAGTAAGTGATTTGTCTGAGGTTCAGTATTCAGTTAATTATAGACCTGGATCTAGAAACTAAATCTGATTACTGATACAGTTGCTGAAGTGCCCGTCATTTAAAGTTAAAAACAAATTCTTTAAAGTTTTGGCTGGTCAAATAGCTCCCCCTCTAGCCACACTGCTTTGTTGATATATTTTCTTAATTTTTCATTCAAATGATTTGTGATCTGGACGGTGTTTTAGATTTAATAAACTTTTATAGTTTATTATATTCTATATACTGGGGACATATGATCAATTTTTGAGTTTTTAAAAATCTTTTCTAGAGAAAGATTTAGTGTGTAACTTGACTATGTCTGTTAACTATTATTTTTTCCTTTATGATTTTGCATTCTGAGATAAGATGGCTACTTGTACTGTTTCTATCATTTTCATTTTGCACATCAGTTTTTGATGTTCAGAATTAAGACCAAGAGCAGCAGTTTCTCTCATTGCTTATTTCTGTAATTAGGTGTGAAATTAACAGTAAGGTTGGTCACTGAGCAATTTCAATATGGCATTTGGTTTTATAAGTGTTATGATAAGCTCACTTTGATTTTAGTTCTTAAATTTAACTTTTTAAAACCTTTTCTTCTCTTGCAGTTGAAAACAATCCTCGAACAGGAAATCTTGGTGCACTGATTAAGGTCTTCCTTTCTAGAACCAAAGAACTAAAACTCTCAGCAGAATGTCAGAAGTAAGCTGGCTAATTAAACCATGTTTGCTTTATATTTAACAATGTGAATTTTAGTTTTCATTTATTGGTGGAAATGGACTGTGGTCTTTTGAAAATCTCTGTGAAGGAATTATTCTTATTATTAAGGAAAAAAGGTAAAAGAGGTATTAGGTTAGTGTCTTAAGTCACTGGGGTGAGATTATAGATTTTGGAATTTGATTTCAGGTTTTTAGACAATCTTTATATGCTTTAAGAAGATGAATAATGATGTAATTATCATTAAGAAGGTAATCCCCCCCATTATCACTGCTGCTGCTATCTAGTTTAAATGATGACTTAGTCTGAGTTTTATTTCATTCTACATCTATTGCCGTTATTTCCGTCATATTCTTTACATCAATGAAAGGTTAACTTTTTATGCACTGAAGCATTTTTCAAAACCATGTTTGGGTGTCAGTCGCTGAAAAGATTAAAAGATTTTGCATTGTCTTGCTTATAAACAAATTACATTGAATCCAATAAAGTTTTTCTTGGGAGTTCATGGTCATTAATACAAATAAAAAGTATTTTACTGTGCTGCAGGCAGTGCCTCATTGAAAATTTTGGTTACATATTTGCATATATTCTTTTTATGTTACCACAATCTTTAAAATTTTTTTTGTAGCCTTCTTCTCTTTTAATTGCCTGTATGTGGTATACCTGTTAAGAACAAAGAATAGTCGTTCCTACAGTCATCAGTAAAGATTTTTATTAAGTAGATTCACTATGTAAAATATGTGGAATGAACTATGAAGTAAAACATAATATCGCTGGTACAATGTAATAAATCATGAGTCATTAAAATATATGGACATTGTCCTAATATTACCAATTAGGATGGACAAAATGGTTGACAGATCAGGAAGAAATAATGGACTAGAAATAAACCGTGATGCTAATGTTTAAATATTGATTCTTGTATGATTTTGGTCTTTCTAGCCACATCTTCATTTGGCAGACACACAATGCTTTGTTTATTATTTGCTGTTTGCTGAAAGTGTTCATCTGTCAGATGTCGGAAGAGGAATTACAACTTCATTTTACTTATGAAGAAAAATCTCCTGGCAATTACAGTAAGTATTGTTTTTGAAGATGTTCTGGATACAGCATGTGTAACATTATAAGGATAAAATTTCAGGAATAAAAGTTTAATTTTGAAAATTCCAGTTATCCTTATAATTTTCATTTTAAAATGAACTTATACTGTCATTTTTTCTTTTTCTGTATTAATTTAAATGAGTCAAGACTCAGAATTTTTTTTTCCTTTTAAGTAAGAAAGCTGATGGTGTTGAAACTTTCATCTATTTTGACTTTCATGCATGTGGATGAAGAAGAAAGTAACATAAAAATAAAACTCACACAAGTATTTACTTCTTTCAGAAAACAGAGGTGTCAGTTTTAAATATTATTGCCAAGTCAATGTATTATTAAGGGAGCCAACTAGTCGGATTTTATGTTAAAGGTTACTTTCATAGAGTGCAGCAATAGCTTCTGGGTCTGAGTGTCTTTGAGACTACAACACTTTATCAGAAGTAACATTTTCAAGGACAGTTTTATGATGCCAAAATGTGTCATCTTTTTCTGAAGATATAGGGAAAGGTTACGCTTCACACTATCTTTCCTTTCTGAGGGCAAGGCAGTGTTGCCCCGTAGTTTTCTGAGTTCTGTTTTCAAAATAGATCTCTACCCTCATCAGGCTGACAGCATCACCTGTGTGATTCAAGGTCATGTGTTACCATCTCTTGTGGGGACAGGTATTGGGAGAGAACTTTGTGATGTGTATACTTTTCATGGAGGTCTGTGTGCTATGTGGATTTCGTGTATATACATAATCACACTTAACTTTCAAAAACAAGGAGTAATTTTTCACTGTGGTTTCAACTGTGGTTGCTAAATACCTGTTTTTAAATGTCAAAGTCAAATATTGACAAAGGGAAACAAACGTATAAAAGAGTTACTATTCATCTAGGTCAACATCACAATGTACTGATTTTTCAGTATATCCATGTCTATGGGGAATATTTCTTAAATTCTGTTATAGAATTTTTATTTTTATTTTTATTTTTTTTGAGATGGAATCTCGCTCAGTTGCCCAGGCTGGAATGCAGTGGTACGATCTTGGCTCACTGCAACCTCTGTTCCTGAGTTCAAGCAATTTTCCTGTCTCAGCCTCCTGAGTAGCTGGGACTACAGGCACATTCCACCATGCCCAGCTAATTTTTATATTTTTAGTAGAGATGGGGTCTCACCATATTGTCCAGGCTGGTCTTGAACTCCTTACCTCCAGTGATCCACCCCCCTTGGCCTTCCAAAGTGCTGGGATTACAGGCATGAGCCACCGTGCCCGGCATAGAATTTTTAAAAACAATATTATGGGGAAGTAGAAAA